ACTTTTCGAAAAGTTTTTACGACTCCCTCCTTCCGGAAATGTTTCCTACGAGCCCACCCCTTCCGACCAATTTTTACCCCAAAAAATTACCGTCGAGCGGCAGGGGGGGGGGGTATATAGCGCGCGCTGAAACGGCAAATTTTCTCCCGCGCCGCTCCCCTCTCATCACATGCCACTTCTTACAACCTAAGCAAGTACGACCCCCCTACAAACTCACCAAAATACGACCCCCCAATCTTCGCAGCAGGACACCCTGGTTCACGAGGCACGCGGTAGTTATGTGGACCATGTGGCCGATTTCTTTTTAGTCGCGTTTACTTTTGGAAGTGTTTACGAATATACGACCGTCTTTGCTTGACCAAATTGACTGGGCCAAAGCCTAACTTTTGCTCTTGCCACGCGGATGTACCGATGCGATGCGACCTCAAGCTTAAGTAATCAAACGTTTACCAAACCAAAACATCCTAATAAATATGAACAAGCCTTGCAAAGTAAGCTGGCCAAAATTAGAGCCCATACCAAAGATTCCTTGAAAAACCCGTGTAGGTAGGTACTGGGGTAAACCCATGGAGACGTTACACTGAGCGCGATTAACTAAACAAGTTTACCAACCGAAGCGACCGATTTCACAAAACTGGACCTCAGTGTAGGGTCAAGACCGTGGGGATTTCGAATGCTGCACAGATGAGGAGCCTAGACTGACTGCCTATAAGCTTATCAATGAATCGAGATATTTCTTATCACATTACCAGAAAGGTAAACTTCTCAGCCGTAAATAGCAGTCTCCAATTCAGATGTGACGGTGGTTGGCCGATCAAAGCTTGGCAATTCTTCGCTAGGGAAGGTGTTGTGACTGGTGGAAACTATGGTAGACAGGTCATTACCAGCTTTTGCTCACATAGTACGAAGGCTCACTGAAAAAGTTATCTTCAGGGATGTTGCCGTCCTTACGAGATTACTCCGTGTGGGCACCATGGCAGGGAGCCATACTACGGAGAATGCTACGATGACGCGCAAACTCCAAGATGCAAGAGAAAGTGCCAGTCGGGCTACAAGACCACATACAAGAAGGATAAGCGTTACGGTATGTGTTAAATCTGTTGTGAAATTTGCGTAAGATTGGAGGTGTGTGAATCACATAGCGAATCCTGAGTGGAAGTCTGTGAAATCATACACCCACGCCGATGGAGTACACGACGCAGAGCCAGAGCCAACCGTCCATTGGTGAAAGTCCAACGAAGCGGGCTCGTATTTGGCCGACGGGGGGAGGGTAGCGTATGCGCAGGGGTCGGGTACCCGACAGGAGGCCCGTCGCGCGGCAAGAAGGCAGAGTCTGCGGACGAGTCGCAGCGCGTGGTGTGCGATGTAGGACGTACAATGGGATTCTATTTAACTTGACGCGAAATCCACTACAGTACGCGCGCGACTCGTCCGCTGACTTTGCCTTCTTGGTGCGCAAACAAGCCTCCTGTTGGGTACCCCGCAGGGATCTTATCGCGATGCATGGGGCTACTTGCACAAGGTTAGGTGCGTTAGTTAAGAAGTCAAGCGCTTATAAGCGACCAAAAGTGTGAATAAATACCTGACTGATGCGTCGAAACTGTAAGCGGAAATATTTGAGTTGTGTAGATGCGACAGAGCTCTCAGCTCTGGGTTTGAGCTTGCTCTCATTTCACTGAATTCGAAGGATTGCTGTCTCGGCAGGAGTGAGTTGCTAAAACCGTTGCGGGCGGTTCCCAAACTAAAGTGTTAACTGAAACGCATGGCGGCATTTACAGAGCCAAGTTTGTATAAATGTAGTGTACGGCCAAGGCCGTACGAATATGAGGAAGCACAGATAGTGCTCGGTAGAGGTGGTTTTTCGAACCATACCGATGTAGTAGAAGTGGCGACCACTTATTTGTTGGAAACTTTTCAGTATGACCTGTATCTATTGCAAAGCACAAATCTTGTAGTGTGTTAGGGTGTTTTGTTCGGAACGCCCGTAGACAATGTGAGCAAAGTGTTCCTCGGAAGCAGGGTCAACCGTCCGTTCGAACTGTTCGAACGAAGGGGTCGCATTTTGGTCGGAAGGGGTCGCAATTTCGAGGACTGCCAGCCACAGGCGCGTGCGTGGCGTATCCGAGGGCAAGAATTGTTTGTGCAGACCGCATTAGATTCGATTAATTATGCACAGAGAGACAGTTTTAGGCAAATTACGGTGTTTTCCTTGAGGAATAAAGAACAGTTGGATGCATCCCTATGAAAGGTTTGACTTCTCGGGGCTGAAATTAAAGTTCTTCGGGGACCTAATTTTCTGAGGACGATTCTTCCAGACAACGTAAAACACATAAGAAAGCAGAAATCTCGTAGTCTTCAAAAATGTCTTCGCCCCTCCCCAACAAGTTCTTTGAAGGAAGTTATTATTGCTGAAAGCTCAAAAACTCGCATGTGCTGCTCAAAAACCTATGGGAACAAAATGTTCGAACGTGTGATTTTCTCGGAAAATGGATTTTGAAAAACGGTTTGGTGCTTGTCAGAAAGAGCAAATCCTGTACTTTCACCCCATGAAAAAAGTGCATCACAGAAATGAAAATGAAGTGAGTTATGCCCGCTTAAAGCCCAAAAACTCGCGATTTCAAAAAAAGTGTTCGGCAAAACCCCCCAAAATGTTCGAACGTGTGATTTTCTCGAAAAATGAACTTTGAAAAACGTTTTGGGCTTGTTAGAAAGAGCAAATCCTGTACTTTCACCCCATGAAAAAAGTGCATCACAGAAATGAAAATGAAGTGAGTTATGGTCGCTGAAAGCCCAAAAACTCGCTTTTGCACGAAAAATGTTCGAACGGGACAATTTTTCAAGAAAGGGGACAATCACTTTCAATTTCTTATTTACTGTTTCCATACAGAAACATTTTGAATGTTCTGAAACTTTCCAAACTGCTTTTCCAAGAATGGTCCGCATACGAAGGATTTTATGGGCCTTCAAAGTTGAAGGTGCGCCTTCTTAGAATTTTGGGTTTTCCACTTCTAACAGAAGTACTTTCCGGAGAGTTAGGCAATCCTTGTAGTTTTCTGGAAGCGCACCTCAGGCACAATCAAAATCTACCTCAACAAGTCAAAAAATACGTCCCAAGAAAGTTATTCCCCTCTAAAATTTTTTCTTCGCCGCGTCCCGTTCTTCCAGCGCCCGGGTGATACCTGCCGCGCTCCAAGGCTGACGCCGCAATGCAGACGCTTCTGCGGCGGCGGCGCAGACGCTTTCTGGCGCAACGGATTCATGTCTAGCACTCTTATTAACAAAAACAGGGGGTCGCAACTGGACCCCCTCGAGAGCTAGGGGGTCGCAAAAATCCCGAAAATGTTCGAACGTGACGGTTGACCCTGCTTGGAAGTCACCGGATGCCCATGTGTGGCATTTATAAAATTGTTAGTTGTTGTTCCTCTGACACAAAAGCGACTCTTTTTTATGCTGACCATCTAACACTTGATCACGACGAAACTATTGGCTACAATCCTTACGGGTGCAACTGACGGACTCGATAGATTGCATTTGCAGGAAGAAAGGCTTATCAACTGCCAAACTCAGTGAAAGCCATCCAGAGAGAAATCATGATGCACGGACCGGTCGTCGCTGGATACACTGTCTACGAAGACTTCTCTTATTACACAAAAGGAATCTATAAGGTAAGAACCTCGAAGAGCTTCCATCCTTTCATAATCTGTTCAAAATACTTGCATTTCATCCGAAACTTCTTTGTTGCATGTGGCTCGTCAGTCGCAGGCCTATAATAATTCGTCTCGGGGAAGTACTCAACGAATTTTACAATTCCTTTGCAGCACACCGCTGGTAGAGAAACAGGTGGCCATGCCGTGAAGATAATTGGATGGGGCAAGGAAAAGGGAACGCCCTATTGGATCATTGCCAATTCGTGGCATGACGACTGGGGAGAGAACGGTAAGCCCTCTTCACGATGTGTAAAGGGAACATTGGTGATCCTCTATGTAAGAATTAAATCTCGAAAACTCAACGCTGCAGTCGTCGTCTATCATATATTTTAACTACTGACTGATCATTTATAGGCTTCTTCCGCATGATTCGCGGTATCAACGATTGTGGAATTGAGGAGGAAGTAGCCGCCGGACTTGTCCGATAATAATGGCAAATTAAATTTCGCAACAAAATTCAACATTGAATAAAGATATCTGCAGTAAATATGTGATCGAATTTGAAAACGTCTTCATTCCTCAATATTATTTGGCTGAAGGCAAGCATGAATGGAACCACGTGGATTAACAATTAAATTTCGCTCGTTTGATTTCGCAATAATGTCAACTTTCGCTTTACATTACATTCAACAATAAATCAAGCAAAACTGCTAAACTCTTATCAACAAGGGCATCGTTGCTTGCGAGCAATGGATGGAAACAGCAACCACGGCAAGCGACACCAGTGCTGGCGACCAGCAAGGCATCGTTGCTTGCGAAGCAATGGATGGAAACAGCAACCACGGCAAGCGACACCTGCTGGCGACCAGCAAGGCATCGTTGCTTGCGAGGCAATGGATGGAAACAGCAACCACGGCAAAGCGACACCAGTGCTGGCGACCAGCAAGGCATCGTTGCTTGCGAGGCAATGGATGGAAACAGCAACCACGGCAAGCGACACCAGTGCTGGCGACCAGCAAGGCATCGTTGCTTGCGAGGCAATGGATGGAAACAGCAACCACGGCAAGCGACACCAGTGCTGGCGACCAGCAAGGCATCGTTGCTTGCGAGGCAATGGATGGAAACAGCAACCACGGCAAGCGACACCAGTGCTGGCGACCAGCAAGGCATCGTTGCTTGCGAGCAATGGATGGAAACAGCAACCACGGCAAGCGACACCAGTGCTGGCGACCAGCAAGGCATCGTTGCACGCGAAGCAATGGATGGAAACAGCAACCACGGCAAGCGACACCAGCGCTGGCGACCAAGCAAGGCATCGTTGCTTGCGAGGCAATGGATGGAAACAGCAACCACGGCAAGCGACACCAGTGCTGGCGACCAGCAAGGCATCGTTGCTTGCGAGGCAATGGATGGAAACAGCAACCACGGCAAGCGACACCAGTGCTGGCGACCAGCAAGGCATCGTTGCTTGCGAGCAATGGATGGAAACAGCAACCACGGCAAGCGACACCAGTGCTGGCGACCAGCAAGGCATCGTTGCTTGCGAGCAATGGATGGAAACAGCAACCACGGCAAGCGACACCAGTGCTGGCGACCAGCAAGGCATCGTTGCTTGCGAGGCAATGGATGGAAACAGCAACCACGGCAAGCGACACCAGTGCTGGCGACCAGCAAGGCATCGTTGCTTGCGAGGCAATGGATGGAAACAGCAACCACGGCAAGCGACACCAGTGCTGGCGACCAGCAAGGCATCGTTGCACGCGAAGCAATGGATGGAAACAGCAACCACGGCAAGCGACACCAGTGCTGGCGACCAGCAAGGCATCGTTGCTTGCGAGGCAATGGATGGAAACAGCAACCACGGCAAGCGACACCAGTGCTGGCGACCAGCAAGGCATCGTTGCTTGCGAGGCAATGGATGGAAACAGCAACCACGGCAAGCGACACCAGTGCTGGCGACCAGCAAGGCATCGTTGCTTGCGAGCAATGGATGGAAACAGCAACCACGGCAAGCGACACCAGTGCTGGCGACCAGCAAGGCATCGTTGCACGCGAAGCAATGGATGGAAACAGCAACCACGGCAAGCGACACCAGTGCTGGCGACCAGCAAGGCATCGTTGCTTGCGAGGCAATGGATGGAAACAGCAACCACGGCAAGCGACACCAGTGCTGGCGACCAGCAAGGCATCGTTGCACGCGAAGCAATGGATGGAAACAGCAACCACGGCAAGCGACACCAGTGCTGGCGACCAGCAAGGCATCGTTGCTTGCGAGCAATGGATGGAAACAGCAACCACGGCAAGCGACACCAGTGCTGGCGACCAGCAAGGCATCGTTGCTTGCGAGCAATGGATGGAAACAGCAACCACGGCAAGCGACACCAGTGCTGGCGACCAGCAAGGCATCGTTGCTTGCGAGGCAATGGATGGAAACAGCAACCACGGCAAGCGACACCAGTGCTGGCGACCAGCAAGGCATCGTTGCTTGCGAGCAATGGATGGAAACAGCAACCACGGCAAGCGACACCAGTGCTGGCGACCAGCAAGGCATCGTTGCTTGCGAGCCAATGGATGGAAACAGCAACCACGGCAAGCGACACCAGTGCTGGCGACCAGCAAGGCATCGTTGCTTGCGAGGCAATGGATGGAAACAGCAACCACGGCAAGCGACACCAGTGCTGGCGACCAGCAAGGCATCGTTGCTTGCGAGGCAATGGATGGAAACAGCAACCACGGCAAGCGACACCAGTGCTGGCGACCAGCAAGGCATCGTTGCTTGCAAGCAATGGATGGAAACAGCAACCACGGCAAGCGACACCAGTGCTGGCGACCAGCAAGGCATCGTTGCACGGAAGCAATGGATGGAAACAGCAACCACGGCAAGCGACACCAGTGCTGGCGACCAGCAAGGCATCGTTGCTTGCGAGCAATGGATGGAAACAGCAACCACGGCAAGCGACACCAGTGCTGGCGACCAGCAAGGCATCGTTGCACGCGAAGCAATGGATGGAAACAGCAACCACGGCAAGCGACACCAGTGCTGGCGACCAGCAAGGCATCGTTGCACTTGCGAGCAATGGATGGAAACAGCAACCACGGCAAGCGACACCAGTGCTGGCGACCAGCAAGGCATCGTTGCACGCGAAGCAATGGATGGAAACAGCAACCACGGCAAGCGACACCAGTGCTGGCGACCAGCAAGGCATCGTTGCTTGCGAGCAATGGATGGAAACAGCAACCACGGCAAGCGACACCAGTGCTGGCGACCAGCAAGGCATCGTTGCACGGAAGCAATGGATGGAAACAGCAACCACGGCAAGCGACACCAGTGCTGGCGACCAGCAAGGCATCGTTGCACGGCGAAGCAATGGATGGAAACAGCAACCACGGCAAGCGACACCAGTGCTGGCGACCAGCAAGGCATCGTTGCTTGCGAAGCAATGGATGGAAACAGCAACCACGGCAAGCGACACCAGTGCTGGCGACCAGCAAGGCATCGTTGCACGCAAGCAATGGATGGAAACAGCAACCACGGCAAGCGACACCAGTGCTGGCGACCAGCAAGGCATCGTTGCTTGCGAGCAATGGATGGAAACAGCAACCACGGCAAGCGACACCAGTGCTGGCGACCAGCAAGGCATCGTTGCTTGCGAGCAATGGATGGAAACAGCAACCACGGCAAGCGACACCAGTGCTGGCGACCAGCAAGGCATCGTTGCTTGCGAGGCAATGGATGGAAACAGCAACCACGGCAAGCGACACTAGCGAAAACAGGTTGTCCAATGACGGTTACTGTAATTGGCAACTTCGGAAAGCGACTTGGTATTCCCTCTTCAACTCTTTGAAACATGTTCGGTGCTCTCAAGGTTCAAGCACACGTCTCTGGGATTGCGAAAAGTGGAAGTTCAAGAACTGTGCACACTCAGAGGATTGGGGCAATCACCTAGAAGAGGATGGCTCACAACGATGAAGCCAGCGTGAGTCACATCGCTTTTGATCTCAGGATCTGCCGTCACTCCTTCCAGAAAATCTTGGGAAGCAGTCATTATTTGAAGAGGTTACCGACTCTTTCTATGCTGGTTTATTGGAGCAACCCGAATAGATTCAACTGATAAAATGCAAAAAGTTTCTGCACGAGCTCGAGGTGCGCCGCATCTCTTACGGATTGGGTTGATGAGAAATTTTCGAACTAAACTTCTTTGCGACCACCAAAGTCAGAGGCAGTTGTTGCCAAAAAGTGAGAGCAAGTCTCCGAGATAACGTCTAGTTTACAACAGACTTTCTCCCGAAGGTGTGGTAGTTTGTGACGGGGTAACATCCAAAAGTGCAGCTCCATTGGAGTTCATCTTCCACAAATGTTAAAATTAACTCGAAGGTCTTGCAAAAGACTTTAATGAGGTACGGTATGTTGTTCTGGATTTACGAGCATTTTGCTCAATGATCGTTTGCTCTTCAATGAAGCTGGGCTCCCTAATACGCGTTCAAATCGACCAAAGCCATCCTGGGCGCTCACTTCCCGGGCCACTGGAGCAAGGAATTGTGACCTTCTTCCTCTCAGGCCCTTAACCCGATGGACTCCTCTATGTGAGGATGTTGTAGAGCAAGACCTCATAAGACTTCTCCAGCTCGGTGGGTGCTCTGAAGTTAGCGCTTCAGAAGAGGTGGGACGACATCGCCGTTGGCTACCTGCGGCGCACTGCTGATTTTGTCGTTGGACGTCAGAAGAAGCCCCTCTCAGAGTCGTCAAATTCAAAGCACCTTCTGCACAAGTGATTAAATAGCTTAGCCCTGTATTGATATTATAATATCTTTGTGTGAGTCGATTTCCTAATCGAGTCTC